GCTCTCAGTAGACCTCAAGACTTCACAGAGTCCATGCCTCTTGTCCAACTGCAGTTTTATATCCTTAAACCAATCGTGTCCCCATTGTTAAAAGACACACATTGAAGCCTAATAGCCACAATTCTGCTCTCTGTTCCCATAAGTTCATCATTTCTAGGTTACACATAAAATTGAAATTGTGTGACATTTGTCTTCCAGTGTGTCACTTATTTTTTTTTTTTTATCAATAGCAGCAACAGCTTTTCCAGGTTCTGCAGTCATTTGAACAAAATTGTAGAGACATCCAGCACACTCCATTTTAAAAAAAACAACAAAAAACAAAAACAAAAACAAAAAAAGCATGCAAACAACAACAACAACAACAAAGTAAAAAACAAAATCCCGGAAAACAGCGCAGTTCTGTTACTCTTGTGGTACTTGGCACCATTTTTTTTAGATTCCATATCTTTCAGATGCTAAAGCTCATGTAACAGCTGCCACAGCTATTTTCATCACTTGATTTCTTGGGTTTTACTAGCAATAACAGTCATTTATAGAGTGCTGGTTACTTTTCTATCATCTAACTTAACCTCTCCAACAGCCTTTCGGTGGAAAGACTACTGAACTCTACAACTGGGAAAAGAGGACCTGAGTGGTGGTCTGTTTGGGCCTCAGTTCTTTAAGCTAATCAGTTGCAATGTAATGCAGGAATGCCTCTGAGAAGCCCACTCTCCACTGCTGTACAAAACACCTCATCATCATCATTCCTGTGACATTTTACAGGCATCCTTGATCTTACTGGGCAAAGAACCTGGAGATGAAAAGGTAGGATCAATGACAGGAGATAAGACCTAGCTGTCTTCCAGTAATATCAGGAACATTTTAGAAATGGAGGATCCTAGATTTCCAGGTGGATAAGATCGCCAGGTGGCTTGAAAGCACATCAGAGTTTGAGGATTCCCACCGTAAATCTGAGGATATTTGCAACACAGCCATCGAGCTTCTCAGCATGGTGCCGCTCTAATGGGGGAGCTCTCAGCCAGCCGATTCACCTGGGATCAACTTGATGGCAATGCAAACTCTGGAGCCTCCTCCTAACCTATTGACTCAGACCCTCTGGGTCTATCTTCAGGTGATGCTAATGAAGGTTTGAAGAATCTGATTGAAAGGCCTTGCAAGCCTCACACTTCAGCTTACCCAAGAAAGAGGAGTCAAAATCCTGGGGACCCAAATAAAGTTTGCTATTCTGTGAGCTTACCTACCCTGGTGTAATAAAACATGTCCCGTCAGTTCTTTGTATTCAAAATACAAAGCTACCTCCCAACATGGGCCCCAAGAATTAGCTGCTTTGAGGTCTGTGTCAATGTGGATCATGCAGACTAGATTCTTGAAGTCAGCATACATTTATACATTCATCGAGGACAGGAAGGTGGTGCCATGGATACAAAGATGAAACTGGCTCCCAGAGATACCTAGCAAGTTTGATTGTAACAGAACTGTTTGCTGTCGGATGTTAGCTATGTGACAGTTATTTCCCTAAAGCCCTTCAAACCTAATGTTGCTTAGGACAGACTTGCTGTTACAGTTTTATTAAAAAGGAGGATAAAGACTGTAGTATGTGCTCCTAACCCTATAGGAACTTAAAACAATCCCCAAGGATAATAACTAAAGCCACTCTGGGGCTGGGGGCATGACTTAATCAGTAAAGTGCCCACAGTGTGGACCTGGATTTGGATCTCCAGAGCCTATTTTTTGTTTGTTCGTTTGATTTTTTACAAAGCTAGGTGCATGTGCTACCCAGCTCCTGAGGAATGACACACCAGAATGACCCCTGGCTTCCACATGCACATATGTGAACACCCACCCCCATGAACATGTTCATGCCCATAGATGGACATGCCCCCACATACACTCTAAAAATATAATCACTTTTATGTATAGAATAAAGATGCTTTCAATGGGGGAAGCTAAGCACGATAGAATCCCAGAGATCTGCACCTAAGTGAGTGGCATGTTTAACCAAAACTTAGATTTCACAGTTTGGGAACTATGGTGCTACCATACTCTACATCCACAAACTACTGCTACTTAAATGATTATAGCTCTTGTCCTGAAACAGCTTAGCATCAAAGATTTGTGTAGAGAGCTATATGGACAGGATCGAGTAGTATTTGAGACATTGTGTGTGTGTGTGTGTGTGTGTGTGTGTGTGTGTGTGTGTGTGTGTGTATGTGTGTTGGCAGAAAGAATGGATTTGAACAAGCTCTTGGTGGTAAAGGTTGATGGTATTACCAGAAATAAAACAACAACAAAGAAACCACGCTGAGCTACAGACGCCAGGTGGTGGTCTATAGTCAGTCCCTAAGTGCCTTGCTCATTGCAGAGTCTCAAGTTCTTCTCTCAGGGAAATTCAGTTTTTATAGTCAAATGGACTCTGAGCTAGAAATAGTCAACCAGTTATAATTGCTTAAGTAATTTTGGAGATAAACACGGGGTCAGAATTAACACCTTCAAACACTTTAGGTATTAGTACCTAGGTACACTCTCTCTAAGTTCTCTCTGCCACTTTTAGTGTGCGAGTTGTCACTGTCACTTTAAAACTTCCAGCTTTTGCATTTCCAACCTGGAAATTCACAGCTATTTTTGCCTTGGTTATGCAAGCCGTGTTGTGCCCCCTGGTGGCAATCTGGATTGGAAGATGAGAAGCGGATTTCAATCAGAGGACGAGCGAGGGCCGACTTAATTGAAAAAGGTGGCAGGCCTGAATTTGAAATGGAATTTCATATCAAACTTTTCTGTCCTTTCTAAAAATAGGAAACATCCCGTTAAACTAAAATCCGATGTATTAACTTCAGCCTGCGAGGTGCATATTTCAACTCCCTTGGCTTTGTCACAAAATGGATTAGCTTCTTGAAATATGTCAGTTCAACGTGAAATTAAATATTTGCTCTCCATCCAGCTAAGGAGCTGAGCTCAGAGTTCTGCAGTCCTGCAGCGCAGTCTTTCCTTTGCCATCAGGGCAGCATGTGCCACAGACACGTGATTTCACCTGCTTCTTCAGGGTATGCGACTCCCCGTATTACAAAACCAGTTGGACACCAACAATGCCATTTTTAAGACAACTCCAGGAAAAAAATCTCTAAATTTTAGAGTTTACTCTTCAATCGGAAGAGCCGAATGAATTTGAGTAGATTCTGATGAGGGGCTTTGTTTAAATTTTAATTGTTTGGGGACAAAAAGGGGATGATTAAAGGTAGTCACTAGAAAATGTATTTGGTAGGCAGAAATGCCAGAGTGCTTCCAGTTACACTGATGAGCCTGCTTCTGTGGCTGTAGTACTTGGTGACCAAGTACATAAATGGTATAATGCTGAATTTGAAATGCTAAAACAGAAGTCACAAGCCTACAGAACAGGCTTTGTGAAATGTGTATATGACACTACACAAAAGAATATAAATGTTAGAGAAAATAAAAAGATTGAAAGCTACAAAAACCAAAGCGGGCCAGTGAGACGGCTCAGCATAGAGCTTGCTTGCCACCAAGCCTGATGACCTGTGTTCGCTTCCTTGTTCTCACATGGTGGGAGGAAAGAATCACCTCCAGCAAGTTGTCCTCTTTTACATGTGCACTGTGGCGCATGCATGGCCACCCCCCACATATACAAATAAATAAATGTAATTAAAATTTTAGGTACTGGGGGGGAGGACGCTCAGTGGAGAAGAGCCCTTACTGCTCTTGTGAAGGAACCGAGTTTAGTTTCCCAGCACCTGCATTGACAGTTCCAGAGTATCTGACACCTCCAACTCAAATGCACTTATGTACATAATCAAAAATAATAAAAGTAAATTCTCTAATTTGTTAGAAGTGTTACGTCAGAGTTTGGACTAAGGCTGGAAGATGAGTACTTCCCAACAGAAGCAAGTAAAGCTGCAACAAACCATGGGGAGGAGCATGCAAGCCCGGGAAGGGCAGTGGGCTTGGTGGGCTTCGAGGTCCAGCACTGCATGAGGACAGTTCAAATAGGAATCAGAGACTTGACTTCAAAAGGTCTTGAAACTCCTTCAAGTTTATATCGTGCTAAAAGTGAAAGGATAAAAAATTATTTAATAATTCTGCTTATGACATAGCTTGATCCTAAATCCTTAGTAGTCATTTAGCAATGTGTGTCTAAAGAAATAACACCAACCAAAAGAATCCCTTCATTTTACTTTGGAATATCTTATTAGACATCTTGCCTACTGAAAACTGTACAATTTCTCAAAATTGTATCAGATTAAGTATTTCCACCTTGATTTTCTATCCTATTTTCAGTATATATTTTCTAAGGCAGTATCTTGTCACATAGCTGAGTGTGTCCCCAAATTTGTGATTTTCCTGTCTCAGCTCCCTGAGTGCTGGAATGATAGGTGTGTGCCACCATTCCTAGATGATATGTGGTTTTAAAATAGCAAGCATCAAAGGCCCAGCTTGGTAAGGACAAGCCACTGGAACGAAGGTGGAGTAGCTGAACACTGACAGTTTGAACTATTCTGTGCAAGAAGTTTGCAGTTGTGGGTGCCTGCTAGCAAGGATCACTGTTTTCCTTTCAGAATTTTACAGTATTCTTGGTTCCTGAGAGTTCTCTATGACATTCTGCCAGGACATTTTGGGAAGCCAAGATATACTGCACACGGTCACAGTGTGGCTAAGCATCCTTGTGAATTTTCTGTCCACAACTCTCTTATTTCTACCTTATGAAGAAATGAAGCCCTACAAACTTATTCTTTCAGATAATTACATTAGACAATGTGGTATATCAAAAACTATTTCAATTTTGGTGCCAAAGAGCACAGTTCAAATTTTTGCTCAGCTATATATGCCTTCAGACATCTTCACAATTCTTTACCTACACAGTAGCTATAAAAATATCTGGCTAGAGCTGGATGAATGAGAACCAAATGAGCATGCAGTCGATGTATAGGGCACAATCAGACTCAAGGATGTGGAAATCCAAGGCCAACAAACAACAGCCACACACAGACTACAATAACAGTTTCTATTTATTCCAACCAGTACATACAAAAAGAGATAATTAGGGACATAAAAGCTGTACAAGTTATTTTAATTGTAAAAAAAGCCTATAATACATGGCATGTTGGAACCTGGGGAAGCAGTTCAGTGTAGCCTACAAGGCCCTGAGTTCTCTCCCCAGCACCAAGAAAACAACACAAGAAGCACATCACATAGAAAAGGACACCAAAGACAAATGGGAAACAACGGCATCCACATTAGTTAGCTGACATCACTGGTACTTCTATTAGCGTCACTGTAACTAAGCAAACAGGAATGAAAGGCAGTTTACTGGAGGGCAGCCTGTGCTGAACATTCTCGGAACATCCTCCTCTTGAGCTCTGCAGTCTTCTCTTCTATTTTGGTGCAGCACTCCTCTGTTGTCTTCTCAATGCGCTCATGGTACTTCTCCAGAGCACTTTTCAAGTTTACAAAGATTTCCTAAGGACAAATGACAAAGAATTGCTCCATGGGACAGCCAGGCCTAACACTGAGCTGCAAATATTCCAGTGGCCATTCACGTTAGTTCTAATACAAGGCTAGGAGAGACTACCGCTGTGATACACTATGAACCACCAAGAAAACAAGTTGCCAAGAGCTTTAAATCTTATCAGAAAAATCAGGTGAGTTAGAGACTAGCTTATGTGAATGCTATTTTAAAAGCCAGCACATTCAACGGCCACAACTTAAGGTCCCAGCTCCACTGGGCTGTGTGTTTATTCCCATGAATGAGAAAGCTGAGTAAGTCAGGTGGAAAGACGACACTTTCAAGAGACCATCAACACCAAGTGTGGCTAAAATAAAAAATAAACAAACACAAGCTGCAAATCCACAGTCAGACATTTCAATACACCAATGCAATGCCTTTTTTTTTTTTTAACTGAGATTAAATATGCTCCCAAGGAGGAACAAATCTCACAGATAGAGCCACTATAAGGAGAACAGGAAGCCCAAAATCCATCAGCACACCTACCAGAAGCAAACACATAGCCAACGCCCTGAGCCTACTGTCAGGTGTTAACAGGGATGGCCAGTAGCCTTCTCAAATGCTGCATAAGTTAGAATAGCCAATGAAAGTCTATACACGATGGGCATTGGTGGCGCACACCTTTAATCCCAGCACTCAGGAGGCAGAGGCAGGTGGATCTCTGTGAGTTTGAGGCCAGTCTGGCCTCCAGAGTGAGTGCCAGGATAGGCTCCAAAGTTACACAGAGAAACCCAGTCTCAAAAAAACCAAAAAACAAAAAAAAAAAAAAAAAAAAAAAAAAAAAAAAAGAAAGAAAGTCTATACACAAGTGGAAATTTACACCAGTCAGACAGCTTGCATTTAAAAAAAAAAAAAAAAAAAAGAATTACTGTGAAGTCAAATACTTCTAAAGTCAAAGCATTGGCCTGGGGATGTAAAATCAAATCTAAGGCTAGCCCAGTGCTGTTCAATATAGAGGCACTAGCCATATGCCACTATTTAAAAAGAAATTAGATTAAATTTAAAATTCCATTAGCCCCTTAGCTGCACTAGACACATATTAAGGGCTCAAGGCCACAGTGCCCACCTACCCAGTAGCTACAGGATTGAGTGTAACTCTAGCAACGTTTTATGTGACAATGTTGGTCTGGTTATCTCATTTTTGAAATTTGAGACATTTTTAAATTATAATGGTATTCAGCATCACCATTGATCCCACAAGTATTTTAATCTATCAATCAAAAATATATTGTTGGAATTTTTCTGTGAGTACCCTGTGAACAGGACGTGGCAGATGAGATCACTCCACAATAACACATAGACTACACTAAGTACTGAGTGCTGGAAACAAGGCTCATACAGGCGCAGGACTACACATCTAACCCGCGGTGCAATGAATGCACCATGTACCATGTGGAAAGCACAGAGCCAGGGTTACCTATTAAAAGTCTGCAATAGAGGAGAAGCAAGAAACCAGACATATGGAAAGACTCAGAGGAAGTTACATGGAAGATAAAACTTACCATTTTTAATTAATTCCCACAAACACATTTTTGCTAACCTTGATCCTCTCCCCACCGCAGCCATCTCCCCTCATCCCTACTGAAACCCACCACTGTTAGTATTTCCCCCCCACTCCCATGTCACATGTGTCCCATTAGCCTACCTAATAACTCTCTCTCTTAAAGCCCCCTTTTCCCTTCTTATGGACTCTTTTCTAGCTCCTGGTATCTATTACTCAACCACTCCACATAAACATATATATATAAAACTTAGAACATGTTGGTCTTTGCGGGACTGGGTAACCTCACTTGATATTTTCCAGTAACATATATATTCCTACAAACTTCATTTTATTCATGGATGAGTAACAATCCACTGTGTACATGAGACGTATTTTCAGTCATTCTCGGGCTACTGAGGAACACATGCACCTGGGCAGACTGGGTATAAGGAGGACAGCACAGCAAGCGGAACGACTGTGCCTGGAGCTTTGATAATAACGCTGCACACCCTGGAGGAAGAGTTACAATGCAGCCAGAGTCCAGTTCACTCAACACTTTCTTTCATCCTGGAGAAAAAGGTATGGTGCTCAAAATTGCTGCCGACACCACACAATGAGAAATAATTGGTGTGGTCGAGACTTAAACTGATCTTGGCATTTTGAGAACCCAGGTTGAAAGAAATACAATTAAGCCTACAAGATATAATAATATCTTGAATTGAGAGCAATCATTTCATCACAGTATGGAGTGTGGGGGGGAATACTTGGCAGGGCTGCACGTGAAGAAGGTGTAGTCTTTAATTGATCATAGTTTGAACATGAACAGAAGGCTAGACACTGCTGCTGACAACCCAGCCCCACAAACAAGGCTTTGTAAACAGAAGCACTCTGCTTCTGGGACCACAGCACTACTTGGGAAGACTGCAGTCAGTGCTAGGTTCTACACTTTAAAGAAAATGAAAGGTAAGAAACACTAACAACAAACAGGGTAACAGTGAATCTGAAAATTAAGCATGTAAAGAATGAGCAACTGAGACCACTACACCCAAAAGAGAGAAGACCAAAGGGCACAGGACTGCCATCTCTTGGGCTATTCACTAGAGCAGGGCATAGATTAATCCAGAGTACAGACACTGAAGATTTTAAAGTCAGCATGAGAAATAACATGTTCACAACTACAGCTGTAGCAGAGCAGCTTGTGTGGTTATGAGCGCCATCCACAGAAAACAATCACAATCACACAGAGCCCGTCAGTGGCTCTCAAATGCCATCCTAGTCTAGAGACAGACAATTCAATTAAGAGATGGGACCTATTGTTGAGATTCTAATTCAATTTTGGGGGAGAGAACTCGGATCATTTCAAAATCCACCACTGAATTCTAGCACACAGCTAGTTCTAAAACACAGTGCTCAGTGCCTTTTCAACTTCATAAATCGTTATGGAAAGCAGACTATACCAAAGGCTATCCTAGGAATGGTTTCACATGCATGCTAAGGTTTAAAGAACAACCGGTATTACCAGGAAATGTCTACTATTAGTAGTGAGACACACGTGCCCAGAGCCAACAGGAATATAAAGTAGCTTGGGCATCTTTTGTGATTAACAAAGAGATCAAATTCGAGTCAGTTATTAGTTTTAATATGCTAATAACCAGTACATTAACTACACTAGAGCATGTGACAGCACAGTCTCTATTTTAATAATGTAGGATGAAATACCTCTTTGTACTAGGATCTTTTGCAGGCTGTATGGACAGTGAGAGTCAGTGGCAGTGAGAGTTCCGCCATCACAAACCAGGCTGCTTCAGAAGCAGGAAGATGGAGATGAATGAAAACAAGAGGCCTAAGGATTCTGAATAAAGAGCTGTGGCTATTTTGGGTAGCTTTTGGCAAAATGTCTTTTGAAGTGTAACATAAAAATCACAAGTAAAGTCTATCTACTAGGATGTCAGAACTTTCAATAAGCAACTACTTTTACCCCAAAGAATGGTATTCTGTGGCGTAAGTAAGAAAAAAGACACAGGAGACACGTGTCTGCAGATTATTAATTGGTATCCAGAGTGGTGCTATAAACGGATAAAAGCAGAGAGCCGGTGGGGTCAAAACTCTGTCATGGGTGACATCATCTATGTTTCAAACTCACAGACTTCCTATGTCCTAGGAGCACGCACCTGGGACTTCAGTTTCTCCTTTTTCACAACATCTTTTAGTTGCTGAATCCCAGATTTAATCTTCTGGATCTCTTGATTAATGGTGGTCACTTGCTCACAGACAGCACCTCTTTCTTCTTGAACTTTATTGCAGCCTCTAAAGGGGAACAGAGACGCCTAATATAACTTCTCTTGAGCATTTAAAAACACAAAGATGCTAACAGTGAACCCTGAGCCACCGTGTGTCAGTACTTGCTCCACAAGCCTAGCACCCTTCCAGATAGAAAAGCAAGCCGGCAAAAGCCACAAAAGCCCACACTGGGTGCTGCACTACAGTCATACCATGGAGTATGTAATACTTCATTAAAAGCCATCCTTTTTGTTTCCTTATTTTGTAGAGCTGAAGATCAAAGGCAGAGCCTGGGACATGCTGGGCAAGTGCTCCTCCACTAAGCCACACTTCAGCCCTCACAACCTGTTGTTTAATGTGCCTCAGGGCGCACATCCCCACACTGTCGGTGCGAATGTGGACTAGTGCAACTTTTCTGCACATCTGGCAACAAATACACAACCCCAGGTTATGTCTTTTCCTTTCATGTGCATGGAAATAATCAGTCCCAATGCCACACTTAAGGACTAAAGGAATGACATCTTAAATACACTGTGGCATGTATTCTACAGGCACATCCTTAGATTGATAAGGAAACTACCAGTGAAATACCTCAATATACTAGCAGAAGAACTTAGCAAAGTATTAATTTTTACTTGAATAACATTACAATTTCTTTTTCTAATGTAACTCTAGCCCATTATGGCTCAAATAAACACTAGTACCACAGTCCCTTTAAAGATTAACATAAATGAATTGGAACTCTGTGCCTCAAAGGGCAACAAACTAGCAGAGAAACACCAAGTAATTAAATAAACAAATAAACAACTGAAACAAGACGAGGTCTTATTTCTATAGACAGAATCTTAGGTATCTTAGTCACTAGAGGCGGAATTCTTTTCCTAACTGCGTCCTTAGCCGCTGTCCCGAGATCAGGCTCTTACTCGATCACTGTCCGCTTGTACTGCCCCCAGTCCTCTCGCTTCTTGTTCATTTTAAAGCACGTGGTGCCAAGCTTCTCCTTCTTTACAGTCATCAGTCTTCGGAGGGAATTTTCTTCAGTCTTTAGTTTCTTTAGTTCTGATGAATCACTTTCAATCTGGTCCTCCAAGTTCAGGTTCTGTTTTATGAAGAGTATTTAAAGTCAATACAATCAAACAGGACTTAAAACAAAACAAAAGGGTTTTCTAGGGTGAGCTAGAGTAAAACAGTTTTGAAATGGAGTAAGTCTTCAGGCTCTGACAGCTAAGTGACCATCACAACTGTACAAGGGGAAAGGGTTCAGAGAGCAGAGAGGAGCTGCCCCTGCTGGTTTGCCAGGTCTCGTGGGGGACAAGCACATAATAGGCAGACCCTGCAGCTGAGTGCTGGTGTGCACACCGAGGCAGTATGGAGAGAAGGGCAGTGGCAGACCTTAGAATCAAAAGCAGATCTGTTCTGTGACCCTAGATGGTGGGTAAGACTATGTGCTAGGCAGAGAAATCCTCCTAACCCCTGGATTCTCTCTGTCAAAACAAACTTTTTCTGTAACGTTAGTGGTCCTGGGAGTGGCCTGGATGAAGACGTGAAAATGATGTCAAGCATCTGAGAAACTGGGATGGCAGAGCTGCTCCTCAGTACTCAGGGCAGAGACTACTGTAAGTTTGACATCTCTACTAACACAGGTAGAGTGATGGGAACTAAGTTGGGCATCTATGCCACAGATGATAAATGATTATATCTGTTAAGACAAGTTAAAGCACTCATTACTATATTCCAAAATATATACCACCATGTGCTATGTTAACTTATTATTCATTTCATCTGAAGGTTGAAACAAGTCCTGTCACCCTGATGTTTAGGGGAAGATAGCTTACTCCTCAGCAGGTACTACACTACAGAACAGAATAAGCTAGTTTGTCTTTAGGAAGGCAGTAACAAAAGGTAAAAGTGAATCCAAGGCTGTAACAGCCCATCACATAATAACCATAGAAACACAGTACGATACAAACCTCCTTTAAGATATTGCTTAGCTTCTCCCTGTTATCTGCAAGGTCTTGTATTTTATTTTGATATAACTGCACCTCCAGCTGACAAGAAGGTAAGCAATCCACAGAGTCTCTATAGATTTCATACTTCTCCATCACTTCTTGCTTTGGGAAGGGGAAAAAAAAGAGACCAGTTTGAGATCCTCTCTTGAAACTGCAAAGTCCATTCATGTGATCTTCAATAATCTCTGCATTTGCTACTGAAAGCTCAAGAATGCACAGCAATTAAGTTCCTAGGTCAGTAGCAAGGCACTACTACTGGCGTGTCAAACTGGTAAAAGGAAATTTCTTTTAGAACATGTTACTTATTTATTTTATGTGTAGAGTGTTTTGCCTGCATGTTCATCTGTGCATCATGTGCATGCCTGGTGCCCGGGAGACCAAACAGGGGCATTGGATCCTCTAGGACTAGAGTTGCAGACAGTTGTGAGCTGTCACCCAAGTGCTGGGAATCGAACCCATCTATCTCCTCTGGAAGAGCAGCCAGTGCTCTTGACCACTGAGCCATCTCTTCAGACTGGTAAAGATGCTTTGAAAACTCCAAATATCTATTATGGTGATATCTTGTTTGTACAAATAAAGTGTATCTGAAGATCAGAGGGTGGAGCTTGCCACCAGCTAATAGACAGACATGAAATGAGATGGCTGGCCAGAGAGAGGAATATCGGTGGGAGGAAACAGGAATTTTCTCTCTTTTCAGCTGGGAAGTTAGTGTGGTAAGGTGTGGCCGTGGCTTGCTGCTTCATCTCTCTGACCTTCAGACATGCTTTGTTTGTACAAACAAGATATCACCACAATCTATAACAAAGAAAACGGGCACTACTTTACTACCTGACCATTCACTGCTAATTTTCCAAAGATTCATCATGTATGTGGGAAAGAGCTCACTCTGGTTGGGTGCAGCTTAGCTTGCAAATGCTTGTCTAGTGCCTACAAAGCTCTGTGGTCTGATTCTAAGCCCCACCAAAACAATCCAAAGGTTTGTTCTGCTAATTCTCAAACTACTTCTGAATACTACAAGAAAATCATATTATCTATTAGGAATCTTTCTGTTTGTTTACATAACTATAATTAGCATCTGGTTCTTTAAAAAGATAATCCCCTCTTTTAAAACACAAAAGGAATGTATATTTACTCAAACCATGTACCACTGCAGACATCTTTCCTTCTCCCCATTAAGCTACTCCCTGCCTTACCATATTAACCAGTTAAATTTCTCCTCAGAAAAGATCTAATCATTCTGCTCACCTTTCATTTCTATTTTTTTTTTTTGTGAATTTGTAAACACTCTTTGCATATAATGGACCTAATCGTGACTTCAAGTCTTAGTTTGCTTCCTGTTGCTGTGATAAAGACCATGACCAAAATCAGTGTGGGGCTGCGTAGAGAGATGGCTCAGTGGTTAAGAGCACTGGCTGCTATTCCAGAGGACAGGCATTCAATTCCCAGCAGCCACATGATGACTCCAAATTGTCTGGAATGTTAAAACCAGGGGATGTGATGCCCTCTTTTGGCTTCCAAAGGCACTAGGCCCTCACAGTCCACAGAGATACATGCAGGCATATATCCACACACACAAAATAAAAACAAACAAAAATAATTTTAAGTGCAACCTGGAGCAGGAAGAGTTTATTTTAGCTTACATCACAATCCATCATTAAGAAAGTCAGGAAAGGAACTCAAGGCAAGAACCTGGAGGCAGGAACTGAAGGAAAGGCCATGGAACATTGTTCACTGACTTATTCAGCCTGCTTTTGATAAAACCCAGGAACTGTCTACCTAGGCTGACCCTCCTATATCCATCATTAGTAAAGAAATGTCCCACAGACTTGCCTACAAGCCAATCTGATGGAGACAATTCCTCAATTGAGTCTTTCTTCCTAACAATTCTAGGATCGTGTCCAGTTGACAAAAACTAACAATACTTCATAGGTACAGAAAATGTTTTAGTAGGTCTTTTCTCTCTAGGATTTAGGTTTTCAAGTTAATTTAAAAACATCTAGCCTATAATCTAAGCCCTTAGGAGGCTGAGGTGGGAGAATCAGGTGTTCTACATTAGTTTAGGCTATAAAGTCAGACTGTGGGGGTAGAGTGTGTGGGTTCCATTATATAAAAATTCTAAATCTGTTAAACTTTAAATTTCTAATTCTCATAAAGATTTTTTTCATAAATAAACAGCTGTTTTCTCCTAGAGAAACAGCTAACTAAACAGAAACCTTCTTAATGGAGGGTGGGGTCAGACCCGGGGTCTGGAAAATTGACCAAGCACATCCTACCACTCAGTTAAACCCCTAGAGTTTTAAAATAAGGCAGCCATTCATCATAAATTTTCAAATCTATTTCTGGGCTCCATTTCTCTTCTGATGATTTTTTTTTCTGTATTACTAGTGACAATTTATGTTATTAGGAATTACTTAGAATTAACTTTAAAACTTTGATTCAAAAAAGAAGTCAAATTGTCTCTCCACCTCTAATTTTGTCCCTTCTTACCTCACCCCACCTCTCAGAGTAACCCTGGCCTTGAACACATTTCTTCTGCCTTCAATGAGCAGACACTCAGACAAATTCCCACTCCCTTCTCTTCTCAGACTCCCACAAATATAAACAAATATAAACTCTCATTTCGTTATTTTAAAGCATCCTCTATTTTTTAATGCTACTTTAAAAATGCTACTTTAAGTTTTTATAGCGGTTTTCTTTGAAGCAAAAATGATCAGGAGAAACAAAGATTTCTCAGATGTTCCGTCTCACCAACATATACACTCTAGGATTTCATGGTTTACACTGTGAGTTTAGTTACTAGTTATTTGAGAATTGCTTAATTCCTTTCTCCTCACAAGAACACAGCATGTCCACTAGATCCACCAGAGCGATGCCTTAGATGCTGCAGTGAGTCAACAGCTAGCTTGCAGATGTATTTCTTCCCCCTCTATCCCAAACAAATCAAAGAGAAAAATCTGTATAGATAGCAGATAATTCAGAAAGTAACACACAACACAGGGAGCTCACCAGAGAATTCCGGAGCTTCTGGACAGTGTTTTTCATCTTCTCTTTATAGTTCTTCACCTTCTCTGGAGAGTCCACAATTTTGCTTTTCAAGCTGTCTTGAACTTCTTTCAGAGAAACCACTGACAACTTTAGTTCATTCTGTTGAGAGATATTTTCACCAATCAGGCCAGACAACAAAATTGGTTACTGCTGTTTGAATAATACAACATTGTAGGCTCATGTGTGCTGTAACCAGGGAAAACTGAATTCTGACCACGCTGAACTGCTTAATGGCTCTGGCTATAAACCAAGTTCCTTAGTGTGACACTTAACACCCTCGGTGGCATTTCTGAGATCAATACCACAGCATCCTGATGCTAAGAACATCCATGAACCCTTGAATACTCTCCTCCCATTTCCTCTACATCCCTTCCATAAGCAGCACAAGTACACACAACAGTAAGATTATGTATTTGATGGGTTTTCATATTAACCGCATGACCTTTTTGTCCTTTGGTACCCAAAGTAATAGCACCTAAGAGGTGTGTGTGTACATGAGTGTGTGTGCATGTGGGTGGGAGGGGGTTGAGACTCACTGAGGGTAATATCATTTGTGTAAAATATTAGAAAAATAATCTATTATATGCTATATAGATGTTATATACTATATAACATACACACACACATCAGATCAGATGGTTAACTTGGGGTCCTTTTTACTTTCTTTATACATTACCATGTGTTCATGTTGTTCCTTTTTTTTTTCTCTCTCTTTTAATAGTTTTCTGTATTTAAGCTGAAAAAAGTTGCCAGGCGGTTGGTGCCACATGCATTTAATCCCAGCAAAGGCAAGCAGATCTCTCTCTCTCTCTTTTTTTTAATTTAAATTAGAAACAAGCTTGTTTTACATGTCAATCCCAGTTCCCTCTCCCTCCCCTTCTCCCCTGCCCCCCATCAACCCCTATCTCATTCCCTTTCTGTTCCCCAGGGAGGGGAGGCCTTCCATGGCGATCTTCAAAGTCTGTCATATCATTTGGAGCAGGGCTTAGGCCCTCCCCAGTGTGTCTAGGCTGAGAAAGTATCCCTTTATGTGGAATGGGCTCCCAAAGTCCATTCGTATACTAGGGATAAATACTGATCCACTACCAGAGGACCCATAGATTGCCCAGACCTCCTAAATGACACCCATGTTCAGAGGGTCTGGATCAGTCCTATGCTGGTTTCCCAGCTCTCAGTCTGGGGGACAAGAGCTCCCCCTTGTTCAGGTCAGGCTGTTTCTATGGGTTTCTCCAGCCTGGTATTGACCCCTTTGCTCATCACTCCTCCCTCTCTGCAACTAAGTGAAAGGCCAGCCTAGTCGACAGAGCAAGTTCCAGAACAGACAGGGCTACAGAGAAACCCTGTCTTGGAAAACCTTTGAGAGGAAACGATGACAACCACATAGCTAACGCGCTCCAGTATACTCAGTTTAAATATGAGGTAACCGAGGAGGTACTTACCAAACCCTTGGTTTTCTCAGAAATATCAGATTTCTTTTGGGCATTTCCTTCCTGCAGCACTGTCTAAAAAAAAAAAAAAAAATTGTGTTATAATGATTTGAAACAGTAAAATTAAACCACTAGCTACTTCCTCATACAATAAAGGTAAGAAGAAGAGGAAGCGAGAAGATCCGACGGTGTCCAGCTTTCTTTATTCAGTAAAAGACCTTAAGAGTCCCTTTGCTCAGGCTTGGTGGTGAGTCTCGCTTAAGCACAAATTGATTAACAAACCTGTGGACTGGTGACGCCCGCCCGATGGTGAGTCAGTGAGGGTGATTCTAGAGACAACTAACTAGCTCATGAGAACTCTGGCCTAACTGATGGGCCAACCCACAGATGGATCAAATCTGAACAGGTTGTCTGTCAGGAGGCTGCAGAGCTTTCTTCCTGAGGAAGCAGGGCCCTGGGAGGATGTGCACTGCCTTAGCACTTTGGGAGCACTCCCTTCGGCTTTCTGCTCTGTTATATAAGCTGCTCTGTCATGCTTCTCTGCCATGATGGACCGAGCCCTCTGAGACTGTGATCCAAAATCAACCTTCTCCTTACTTATTAAATAACACTTTAGTAACAATAATGAGAAAGCAAAAATAATAGAAAAACAAAAAGATAACTGCATAATCTGTTCTAGCACCACTGTAACACTTCAAAAATTAATACACAAATTGCAAGGAAAACTTTCTTCTTAAACAATAACTACCAACTCATTAGGTGTCCATGGTATCTACTGAGCAGCACAAAATTTCAAGCAACTTGGAGTCAGCCAAGACATGAAAATTATCATTTTCTCTCATTGGTTTGCACTTGTTTTTTTTCTTTTTTTTTTTTATCATGACAAATCTCCAAACCCCAGCTTCACAGAAATACAGGGAAAGTACCACATGCTAACACTTAAGTATCTTGAGCTAGTGCAGGCTGGATGTAGAACACTGCTGTATTTCCCATAAATAGAGACTGGCCCAAAGCCGCTTGAGCATTCGCTGCAGTGCCCAGGACACCACAGCAGAACCAAACACAAGAGAATATTCAAGAACTCTATGCATTCAGAATGCACATAGCACTGGCAACACCAACAGTCACAGCCGCATATTGCTTCTTCAGTAACTGAATGCCATGTTTAGCCCGGCCATGTGCACCCACACAGCCACATGGGAAAGGGCCCACAGATACCGTTTTCTGCCTAAACTCCTGGTTCAGCAAGTGCTGCAGCTCTTGAATGTCATCCATAAGCTGCTTGAACTCTTCTTGCTCTTCAACTGGAACCGAACTAAACACAACAAAACAGACCAAAAGTGGGTTTATGCATTGTTAAATTTGAAAGGCACAAATAAAACCTGCACTTTTAATAACTAAGTAAAGGGTCTGATTCCTTGTTTCTGAATTATATACTTTCAAGATAACCATTTTATAGATGACTTTTACCTTCTACTGAAAACAAAATAATTGGACAAAAGTCTTCAATTTTCTATCATCTAATGAGCTCCACATACACATACTCATCCACTGTCACTCCAACTAGAATGACCGTAGCATTCCTCTCTTGTCCAATGCCAATTTCCTTAACTTGGCCTTGGCTCTCAGCACCATACACTTCCCAGAGCAGGACCAACCTCTCTCCTGTGCTATCATACTTTCCATTAGCACCTACATATCAGTACTGGCTGGTTTTGTGTGTCAACTTGACACAAGCTAGTCATTGGAGGAAGGAGCCTCAGTTGAGGAAATGGCTCCTTGAGATCCAGCATTTTCTCATTTAGTGATCAATGGGAGAGGGCCCAGTCAGTAGAGCGGAGGGCATCCCTGTGCTGCTGGTCCTGGGTTCTATAAGAAAGCAGGCTGAGCAAGCTATGGGAAGCAAGCCAGTAAGCAGCTCCCCTCCACAGCCTCTGCATCAGCTCCTGCCTCCAGGATCCTGCCCTGTCTGTGTTCCTGTCTTGACTCCCTTCAGTGATGAACCACAATACTGAAGTATAAGCCAAATAAATTCTTTCCTCCCCAACTTGCTCTTTGGTCATGGTGTTATGTCACAGCCTTAGAAACCCTAACTAAGGCCAGGAGGTGGTGGTGCATGCCTTTGATGCCAGCACTTGGGAGGCAGAGGCAGGCAGCTCTCTGTGAGTTCGAGACCAGCCTGGTCTACAAGAGCTGGTTCCAGGATGGCCTCCAAAGCCACAGAGAAACCCTGTCTTGAAAAACCAAAACAAACAAATAAATAAATAAATAAATAAAAACCCTAACTAAGACAATACCCAAATCTCTTCACACAAAAGTCCAGGTTTACTTTAGACTATCAAAGATATTAGCCATTTATTTTGATTGTTTTTGTGTTTCTATAGTTAACACTTATCCTCTTCTGTAAGAATTCTTCATATACTAGGAACACAACATGAGTTCTGTCACCAGCTTAGCAACGCTTTGTATCATCTGCTGCAGACATCCTCTCCCAGCTGTCATTTTCGTGATTTAGTTTGTGATTTATTTTTATCATGCTAAATTGCACTATGTGTCTCTCACTCTCAGTCTCTTAGCTTACTGTTGTCTACAAAGACAATTTTACCAGAGACCATAAACAGACAACCTCAAAGACATCAACAGACTAGAATCAACAAACCAAATCTGACTGCTCGTCATCAGTGCAGACAGCCCTCCATCTGTGATGGCCCCACAGAACAACTTCATTTTACAATAGCAAAACACGGTACACACTAGGAAGAAAGTGTACTTCAAATTGTGGTCTTTTTTTTTTTTTTTTTTTTTTTTTAAAGTGAGCAATAGGGGTGATGCTGGGATCCCCACTGTGGCTCCTGGTGGAAGAGTGAACAATCCCTTCCCACATGACAAAGCTTTGTTGTGCTATCATATTCAGTGGGGCAGGTGGACAATGCACTAACGAGAAAGAACCAATGATAAATAACCCAGACTTAGGGAAGGAAAATATAGATTTGTTTATAGAGACAGGGACCAAAATACCCTCCCATTATTTCAGGAAGACAGCAAGACTTGCTGTGGATAGTGGTACTGAAACCAACCACTTAACTATTTGGTTTGAATTCATCTTATTTGTAAAGCTCCCACTTACTCAAGTTTCTCCAGTTTCATCAATGCTTCCTGGTGCGCACTGTTTAACTGCTGCATTTTGTCCATAGGGGATTTCTGTGAATGCAATTTCATCAAGCATTAGCATGTCTTAACAGAAAAGAATGCATTAAAAAAAAAAAAACTCCAAACAGACTGCAAAATATTTATTCACCATTAAAAAAAGAAAGAAAGAAAAGTTAGGGCCAGGCCCCTAGGAGCATTTGGTCTGCAAACATTAAGAGATTGAGTGTGAATTCCCAGAACCTACATAAAAGGCTGGGCATGTTAAAAGTGCCTATAACCCCGGAACTGGTGGACATACACAGGGGAATCCAAAGAGCTCTCTAGTCAGCCAGACTAGCCCAAATGGCAAGCTTCTGGCCCATAGAGAGACCTTGTGTCAAAGCAATAACGTAGAGAGAATAGCAGTATGATTTAGAAAGACACCTGATGTCCTGCTCTGACTTCCGCTGGCATGGGCATATACCCACACACTCAAGAGCAAATGCCACATACCTACACCTGGCACCCAACACACAAAATATTAACAATACGTTTAAGTGGTTAGGCATTTATGAAAAATGAGTTAAGAACAATTTTCCTCCTTTTAAAACAGCTGGGGAGTAAACTTAGGGTTCATGTGCATGTTAGGTACAACCTCTCAGCAAGATTCCCAGAAATTTCTTTACCTAACATCTTACTATGGCTAGACACTGTGTTAGATGCTGATAATTTTCAAGAAAAGAGTCTTTTGGGTCCTGAACATAATTCTATCTCTTTGAGCTGTCAGTCATGAATGAAAAGCTATGAAACACCTAACTAAAGCACTGAATATAATGGGAACAGAGACCATGATACCCGTCCCAACACAGGTGGTGGCAGGAAGGACAGTCACTCAGGTTTCTTAGAAATGAAATGTCTGTGTAGTGTGTCTTTAAAAATGAGAGTGAAGAGCCAAACAAAAGTGTGTGAGTGTGTGTATACACAAGCGTAAATGTTCGTGCATCCGAGTGCATGTAAGCTTTGGAGAGTCTTCAGGTTCATGAGTGTAAGCTTAGCCTGATTTGAACTAAGAAGTCTTTATCCAGGTCCATGTCGCTGAATCTCAGATCTAAGTGGCTTATGTTACCCTAGTACTCTCTAAGAGTCCAGCACTTGCACAGTAAGAGCAATGGGAATAAATCCCCCAATCATAGTCCATCAGCTGTACAACGAACAAAAATCCATCTGTAATGTGATGGTGTTCAATTGCACCTTCCACTGTGAGGCTAGGCAGAAAGAATAACACAAACAGTCCAACTTGGCCTTGCTTAAAAGGCAAACAGATTTCAAATATCTGTTATTTGAAGAATACTATGTATCTTTGCAAACTTCTGAAAAAAAAATTATTTCTTAATGTAGGGAGTAATGTCTCAACTACAATGTTAAAGCAATATTCTATCTTCTGTGTTATCAAAAATATATCAAATTAAAGTCTGCTTTGAATAAATATGAAATCAAATTCAGTTCTAACCATTATCTAACAATTGGACCTGTGACAAAATTTCGAAGTGGATTGTAACTCCTACATGAGATGGCTGACCTGATGTGTCTAACAAATATACTTGGATCTTACATTTTGCAAAAGAAATTCTGCATACGTCTCCCGGCAAGACTCTCTGAAGTGAATGAAGTTGATAATGCCACTTAAAAACCGACTTGTCCGTTTTGCTTCTAAAACAGAAAATAACACTCTAAAACATTGAAACAACAAAATGCAAACATGTATCATTTTTTACCACATGACTTGGCTCCCAGCATGTAAAACTGTGTGCTCTGAGGAGGTGTAGAACACCTGCTTTTACTTAGACTGGAGTTAGCTCTGTGTTTAGAAAGGAGGGAGAGAAGAAGGGAAGCAAGCTGGCCTGGGTGATAGAGCAGAACTGAGACCATGGCCAACCGGAATCTTAAGACAGAAAAAAACAAATAATAAATCAAGCAAAAACTTTAGACAGCAGAGCACATGCAATGTAGGAGAGAAACCACCTTCAAAGCTGAAAGATGGGATCCCTGTGAACACACTTGCCCTTAGCAAACAATGCCAACAGAATGCAAAGGTCTTATGGAGGCAAGAAGGTAAGATTTGAGTTGGAGAATTGCTGTAAGCCCAGCTCTAGGGATCCAACAACTTCTGGACTCTGCGGGCACTAGGCATGTACATGGCATACATCACACATGAAGGCAAATACATACCGATATACATATAAATAAATAAATCCTTCAAAAGCTATTTTTAAAAAAATCCAGTAGCCAAAGTAAGGCAAGAAATGGAGAACATGGAAATACATAAATATTACAAAGGAGAAACAAAAAGGATTCAAGGTAAATTTAAGACATCATATCAATAACATTAAACACAAATGAGCTAAGCACTCCAATTAAAAGGTAGTGGGGATGAAAAGAAGAAATTCACAAAAGATTTCAATATCTCTATTAATCATTCAACACAGCATCTGAAAGAAACCCTGAAGGGACATTAATAACCAACTGGTCCAAACTGGTGGAGGCTGTACCCAGTGAGGAAATGCAAATGCAAGCTGTGTAACACAACACGGCAGGCCAAGTGGGTGCACATTCAGGTCCTAAGACCTGGAATCTGTGCACGCTATTAAAATAATACATCACAAGATCTCACTGGACAGCGGCAGATTACGACACTGTGTCCCCTGTGGTATGGCATGTGCTGCAGTGAATAAGAAGAGTCGGGATAACAAAGAACAGAGGATTCCACAGACAGGAGAAGAGCATCAGAAACCACAAAGGAAGCACAGAAGGGGAATGAACAAACAGTAAACAGCACAGGGCTCCAGCTGCCCAGCTCACACATCCAAAATAAGGAGCCAGTCTACACACATGCACATCTACAGATGAATGAGTGAAGAAAATGTGGAGCAGGAACTCATGCCTGATTTCAAGTCTCATCATAAGGCAGTTACGTGGTGCAAAGATAAACATCTAGATGAATGGTGTAAGGAAACTGGATATCCAGACAGAATTCAGCAAGAGCTTAGAGAATAGCAACCCCAGATATGTGGACAATTGATGTCTTCTATTATATTAAATCTGATGATAAGCTAAAGTGATAGGAGAAGCATCAGTGCTGTCAGAGAATGGTGGCCACAGGGAACTGACTGAAAATGCACATAAGAAACCTCTGTGGGTCATGGAAATGTTACGCACAGTTACAGCAGTATAGTATCAGTACTATAATATCAGCTTTTCATGGTAAAGAAAGTAATTGCTAATTTGATAACTTTGGCTAGATTAACTCACTATGCAACATCACACCCACACATCATTTGTATCTAGACTCCCAATTTTTAAATGTAACCTCATGACTTCATTGTCTTCATAACAAAATAGGCTCAGAACTGGATCATCTGCCCTTTTTCTTCTTATCTTTGCTCACACGTCTTCATAGCCAGCATCCTCTCAGACCTGCAGATAGGCTCAGCACACTCAAGCCTCAGCAAAACCATCTTTGTAGTTTTAGCCTTCTGTGGGAAAAGGGTCTGGTCTGACCACCATAAACACTCTGTTTCTCAGCATAACCCACCTTCCCAAGGCAAGCAGACAATCTCTGTCCTTCTTACACTGTGCCACTTATTGGGGTTGGTGATTGCCACACTTCTTACAGGAAGTCTAGTGAGCTTTAGGAGCATCCATCATGTTTGACAAAGTGATATCAACACAGAAATAAAGTTGTCTTCCAAAATTTTAGGACCATTTAAAAAAATAAAAAGCTTTAAGAAAAAAATCAATTTAAAAAACAGCTTTCTATAGATCTATAAAGGACAAAAAAGACTTTTCTTACAATTTTCTTTTACATTTACTGGCAGAAAGGGAAAATGGAGAATTAAATGGTCAGAAATGTAATTACTTGGATCAGAAATGTACTTACTTGGATACACAATATCAGTAATCTCAAAGTCATTCACGCGGCAGATGGGCATAAAGGATTCCCTTGAGGATCAGAACAGTGAAGAGCAGGGGCATTAGGTGCTAAACCATTAACACAAACATCTTAGTTTCAAACATATTTCTCAGTGTTCAAAGGCCAAGTCAAGTCAGAAGACTACTGCAGTGCACAGTGCTGCAGCATTGAAATCTACTTCAATATTGCATCAGTATTATTTTTTCTGGGTGTTACAACAGCATTCATACAGTATCAAGATATTTACAGACTAATAAGCAGCACATATTCTTGGAGATTCTAAGACTACAAGAATGCAAAGCTACCAAACAATTCCAGACATAGAGCATCATAGACTGTCACGTGAGAGCATCCTGAAGAGTGCCAGAGATGAAGACAGAATACATGTGAGAACTCCAAACACATATTAAAGTAGAAGGAACTGTTCTTTCACAAAGATCATACCGTCAGACGAGTTTAACGTAATATAGACAAAAAAAATCACCCTTTACTCACAGATGAAAGAATAAATTGATGACTGGTAAGAAGCCCTCCATTATATGTGGGTACATGACTTCTGCGTTCACTGGCATCTGAATGAAATAAGTCACAAGTCAATCAGAGAAAATAAGAAGAATCTTCAACAATAAAAACCTTAATCACAGGAAATGATCAAATGATATAAATTCATTACCACTAAATCTGAAAACAACACACCTTGAAGTGCACAGCTGGACTTGACAGTAATGTATACACGTTCAGTTCCCAGTGAGCACTTAATGAAGATTTTTAAGTGCATGGAAACAACATCAGGCCTTATGCTAGGCATTTGACTTTGTTGTTTTCTTTTAACTGTTACAACAATCCTACTTTAGAGGGATACCCTGTTTTGTAAAGAAATCAAACCTTTGCAAAGTTCCATAGTAAAAGAGGGCAAAATCTTTGATCATTAAAAACATCCAATCATAAGCTAAGAGTGGTAGCATGTGTCTATAATACAATGAGTTCTAGGACAGCCTGGGCTATCAAAAAAAAAAAAAAAAAAAAAACATAGAACCTTGAAGAGACCCTGTAGACATTATATCTTCATGGATCCTTAGATAATGGCCTGATAATCTGATCACAAATCATGGTCAAGAAAAGTGGTCATTCTGATTAGAACTATGTGGCTTGCCTCATTTCAATTGCTTCAATCTTACTATCTTTGATTTTAATCTTAGAGTCCTTCCTACAATTTTTTTTTCCTAAAGACTTAGCAGTTGTTTATTAAAGTCTCTGAAGCCAGATCTACACATCTGCAAACTGTATAGAATCAGTAACTTCCAAGTGTCCTTTGGTCTTCCATTATAGTTTTCATCTTACCAAAGTTCTCATGTAAACTACTATTATGCCTAAAAGTCTTTTGTAAGTGAGGTCAATTTTATGAAGGCATTTAGATTTGTTGGAAATAAAATCAAACACTTCTTATCCTTTGGGGTACAATGCATTGTGAGCAGAACTGCTGTAAAAACAAAACCAAAACACTATCTCTTAACTCACCATGTAGAAGTGTTCCAGCCGGACCCCATACACTATTTGTAAAGCTCTCATGTAGATCATGTATAAGACCTCAGGCTACAACAGAAAGACACCTGTCAACATCTTACATAGAGAACTGTGTCATTACGGTCATCCCCATCTAATGCTACAGTAAATGAATGCAAAAAAGGTGAGTAAAACCACCCGGTTTCCCTCAAAATACCTCATAATTTCTCCAAATTTTAAAACACCTTATGGTACATACCAACTTGTTGATATGTAGTGAATAAACAAGGAAATCAGTTACTTATGAAGGAGAGTTAGTTTATCCATATCCAATCCAATCAACACACCCAGCCCAGGCAGAGAAGACAGGTGAGTCTTTTGGAATTCTGTCAGGAATGTGGAAATACTGAACACTCAAGATTTTATTTTTACTTTTCAAAGAAAGATCACTCAGACTAGCCTGCTACTATGGATTGAAGGTCACCTAGATTTCAGTTTAGCTGCAACACTTGGAATAATGACTATAAAATTAATGGATAAATAGCAGGATTTAAAAACTGTATCTTCTAAGTCAGTAGACCCAAATGCTGGCTTGAGGACTTGCCTGCTGTATACTCGGGTTTATTAGGTAAACAGAAAGGCCTGAAATATGGTTAAATCTACCAGTGCTTCCCCAAAGCTTAGTCACTCACTTCAAGGCCTATCATTTACTCGGAGGCCATTCTTTCCCCTTTAAAGAACTGACGAGCACTGAGATACACAATTTTATATTCTGTATGATAAAAGAAGCCTTCCCATATTATAACTTCAAGGCCAACACAGGAAACTGGAGGGAGACTTTGGGATTTTGCTGTGACACATAAATAGCTCATTTTTGCATTTAATAACCAAACACATAAAGAATAACACCTGTCAAAATAAGTCAATTCCCGCCTGGGGCATAATGTAAGAAAATTAATCTGCACGCTTCCAAGGAAGACTGTTTTTAAGCATGCGTGTGGAGGAAACCACTTGGAATAAATCCTGTCAAGCTCTCCAATAAACGATACCCTCATACACCACTCCAGTAATATAAAAAATTTAATATACTTTAATATATCTATGCTTTAAAGCCTTTTTTTTTCTTTAAGGAAAACAACTGTATTAAAGAACAGAGTTCCCAATGGGAATGTAGAAGTTGCCCCACATATAAACTTAATGTTATTTTAAAATTACACCAGGTGAGAGATTTTTCTCTAGATTAAAAATGACTGGCCTACAACAAATATGAGGGCACATGCCTTCCTTCCCACACTACAGACCTAGTAGCTTACTTTATTCTTAAATATCAGAATCTCCATATGAAAACAACCACATTTTACCTTTGGGTTTGGATAAAGATCATTCTTAGAGAGGTTTTTGCCATCGGCTCCTGTTAGTAATTTATTGCGAATATGAACCACAATCTCAGCTACATTGTATCTGGGGAATGACAAGGTTTCCATTGTGGGAGTCTCCTCCTAGTTTGAAAGAAGGAAAAACAAAGATCAGAAATATGTATAATGAATAGTCCTGGAAACTGGAAATAGTCTGGAAATTGATTCTTAGGGTAAAAAATGAACAAGCTATGGTTGAACTTCTCATTGTAGTATTTTCATCAAATATCTGAACAAGGTAAGGAATTTTAAGCCAGGCATGGTAATGCATACCGGTGACCCCCAACACTTAGGAGGTGGAGGCAGGAGGATCAGAAATTCAAGGTAATAATTACATGTAAAATTCAAGACCAGCCTGACTGTATACTGTCCCAAAACAAAACAAGATGAATTTTATTCACACACACTGAAAGATGCTGTTTTATCCTAAATAATTTTTATCACAAAGTTATAGTCATTTTCTGTTAACATAACCCTAATCCTAAATTCCATAAGGAATGGAGGCTTTGAGTTGACACAGTAGGAAAATTATGTTGTTTTCTTTTCACATGTGGGCCAGGGCATATAACAAGATGCTGAGAACTATTTCTCAAAGCACAAGACAGACAGATAGCAGCAGCAGCAGAAGCTAGACATAAGCAATGCTAACACAAGGCAGAAAATAAAAATGCATTCTGATTTGATATCCTACTCAATACACACCCGGTAAGATGACTAATAAGATTTAAGATGCAAGCAGGGGTGAGAGCTGGGGCAGAGGGAAAGGAAGATGTAGAGGGAGAGCAGGAAAGAGAGGCTTTAAGGATCCCTTTCGCCACAGCAAGAACTTAAAACACATAAAATAGAAAAATGCCCTAATATGTGCAAATAATAGATTATTCCTACCGGTGTCCTCTTAAAATAGTACTTGTCAAAATTCTGCTTCCCTTACACATCCCAGAACATGACTGGCAATGTTTGAAGATATTTTTAGTTGTCAAAAGAAGAATGCAATGGCTAGAGGCCAGGCACTTTGCCAAATACCTCACAATGATTCAGGTGATCTCTTACAGCAAAGTTGTCTGTCAAAAGGTGTGAGCAGAGACCCAGAGTGAACATATTCAATTCTGCAAACAAACTGAAATGGCTTACAAGTTTTGAAACCTACTTTAGGCTTTCATTGTTTCTTAGAACAATTATGGCTAAAAAGAAGCTCTAACAACTTGCCTATCTCCCCAATGAATGGAAAATGCCACCCTAAAACATGGTTGTTAAATAACCTCCTGATTCCAAACCCTTCAAAACATCACAGACCCCAAGAACTATAAAGGCTATTTCATTTCACTCTAGTGTGTCTCTAATAACTGGAAGACACTTCCCCAACTATTGAGAAATGCTGTTGTAACCTCATCACTGATCCTAGTTTTAGACGCTGTAACTGCACAGAATGCATTAATCCCTATTTACAGGACACTGCTTTCAAAAACGTGAAGTCAGCCATGATGTACTTTCTAAGCCTTTTCTGCTACAAAATTAAACATCACTTCCTTACATGCGGCCACTCCTTTATGACATTATTTTTGCAAATCTTGCCTTTTGAGACAAATGAATACACCTTTTCCTACTCCTACAACAAAAATCAGTAGATTTGTACCTAAAGTAGAGGTGGTTTCTGGCAAGTATCAAGCAGGCAGGTAATTATGTGGTGGACACCATTAGGCATCCCATCATTACCTCCAGGTCAATAATGTCAGAACCCACAGGTTGAGGGCTTAACCCTCACACTGCTTCCCTTTGACACGATGGTCACAATCCCAGGCTGTTTTTCTTATGCTTCTGATAGCCTACTACATAGTAGAGTTCCTACCATGCCCTTCTTGATTTGATTCATCTCTAGAGCAGCTCAGGCATAAGGAGATATTATGTTATATTATATTATAATATTATGAGGGATGAACACCGGATGAAGAAACAACCAGGGCCAAATATGAAGGAGGAATATGGAACCTCTAGGAACCACAAGTGTCTGGCAATCCCAGATTTCCTCTAAATCAGCCCTTTAGGGTGCAAGGCAACAGCTACCCATTAGGCAACAATTACTCATTAACATAAAAAAAGTTCACTTATCACTGTGATGGCCCAAAGGATTTTGGGGTCTGTACACCAAGAACTTTGGGCAATGACAAAATGTATATTTCACACTATCAAACTGTCCTATTAAATTATCCTCCAAATATTATTTTGTCAATATCTTCCCTTGTGTTAGTCTGTGTGTGTGTGCAGGCTATGGGGATCAGAGGCAGTCTCTAATCTTGTTTCTCAGGTGCCACCCACCTTTACTTACTTATTTAGATATGGGAGTAGGCTAGGCTGACTGACCACCAGACATCTGCCTGTCTCCACTTCTACAATGCTGAGAACCATCTGACCATGGCAAACACTTAAAAAAAAAAAAAGAAAGAAAGAAAGAAAGAAAGAAAGAAAGAAAAAAAGAAAGAAAGAAAGAAAGAAAGAAAGAAAGAAAAAAATGTAGCTTCTAGGGTTAACTCAGGTCCTGCCTTTCCTAATCGAGCTATTTCCCCAGATAGTATCTTCGTAAAACATAACAAATGAACTCAACATCCCAGACCTAGTCCGTCTAGGGCAGAGGATTAATTCAGCAAGGAAATACCTCTACTTATTGTGGGTAACTGTAGTACCATTTGTGTAAAATAAAATACATTTACGACCCAGTGAAAGAAACTCTAAGAGCTTCAACATGGCCCACTTACATTAGCCTGGGTGTCTGAGACCCCACACACACTTCTTACATCATTATTTGAACTTTTAAGACATTTTCTACTACTGAATTTCATAAGTACAAACTTTTGTTTCAGAGACAGGATCATCTCAAATCTGGGTTGGACCCTTCACACATTAGCCATCTATCTCAGTATAAATGACAAGTGTATGGGAAAGGAAACTATCTTACCCGGAGTATGGTTGTTTGGTGTATTTCAAGAAACTACAGACCTCTACAGACTCAGAAAGGTTCAGCCAGGTCGTTCTGTAAAAAGATGTTTATAGAGGGTTCTCCACAGGACAGTTCCCTCCCTGCAGAGGAAAAGATCTCTGCACAAGAAAAGAGTGTATTTCTGATTCCTGCCCAGGTACAGATCACTACAGGTGACAATGACATGAGAGACTTCATCAGCAGAACAAGATAGCTTTCATTTGCTGTGTATCTCCTCTGGCCACAATTCCAAACCCTCAGTCACTTCCTTTCCCTACAGAGAAGCCTAAGCCTTTACCCTCTGACTAATGTCTTTATGATCAGCCAGTCTAGACCTTCTTTGCATTTAGGCATATACCAGATTCTGGGCTTTTTCTTTCAATATTCTGAAGTCAGTTATTTCGTAGATTAAAATGATGAAGCTTTCAGAGGGAAGAAAAGGTAAATAAGCATTCAATATTTTTCATCTAAGTCTCAGCTTTTGAAACTGCTCATAAAAACATTACAAAGAGGATACTTGCTAAAGCAAGCTGCACCTAGATTAGAGATTTTACCAACAGAGTAGGTATAAAATATCTTCATGACTCTTAATCTCACACTACCCTCTGCCAATGTTTCACTGCTGTGTGGTTAATCCTTATAAAACATCAAATCCTTACAAATGTACAGTTGGCTTGCCTACCACACAGATTTCAATCTTTTTCACTTTAGTTTCTCAAATCTATAATAATCTAGTGCTCTTTCTGGTCCAAGTTAATCCCTTCAAGACTTCTCCTAAACTTCCAATGTCTCATTACAACTGCTTGGGAATTTCTGAGGATCAGTTTCCCAAGTTAAAATTACCAAGAGGCTTACACCTGCAATTAGTGGGTATAATGGCTTCTTCTCATCCAAATTCTCAGTCTTTTGTAGTGCAATTTCAGTTCCAACGTGTGTGTGTGTGTGTGTGTGTGTGTGTGTGTGTGTGTGTGTGTTTACAGACAGTGAAAGAGGCCTTTAGTTTGAGCTCTTAGCTCAGACTAAAGTACTTTATAGTTACAAGGACTCTCTGACATGTTTGCTAATGACTCCTGTTTCTCTTTTATTTGTAACACTACAATGCTAAGCACAGCATGTCCTGGCATAACAGTTAAATTTTATACATGTGGTTTTGCAATGCAAAATTAAGCAAGCAAGCAATTCCCAATTTTAAAGAATTAAATAAAATAGTTCCTCAAAATCTTGATGAGGGCAGGGCAGTGGTGGCACACGCCTTTAATCCTAGCACTCCAGAGGCAGAGGCAGGAGGATCTCTGTGAGTTCGAAGCCAGACTGGTCTACAAAGCTAGTTCCAAGGCAGCCAGGACTGTTACACAGAGAAACCCTGTCTTGAAAATCAAAAGAAAGAGGAGGAGAAAAAAATCATGAGAAGGGTCATGTGTTGTACAGGAGTAGAGCCATATACGCTCAGGTCCCTGATTTTTTAATTAAATACAACATTTTCGCCTTTTGATTCGTGGTTCTGGGTGTAATAAAGAGATGGTGGAACAACGGAGATACGTAGAAAACTGACAAGCATTCACAAGGAAACATATCCCACTGACACCACCCTTGTGGCTCACACCTGTAATTTTAGCACTTGGGAGCTGGAAGTAATAGGATTAGGAATTCAAGACTAGCTTCGGGTACTTACTGGGTTCTAGGCCAACTTGGATTCTTTAGACCCTGCTTCAAATCAAAACACATAAGCTTAAGTCAGCGAACCCAGGCGCCCCAACCCTAGGCCTCCTCCCCGCCCTCCGGCGCCCGCTCGCACTCACCTGCGGTCCCAGAAGCTCCGGGAAGAGCAGATAGTAGCCAAGCAATCAACCAAAAAACACCAACCGCTGTCACTTTTCAAATCAGCCGCCTTCTCATGCGGAACCCGCCCTTTTCCGCAGAGTGCTCTTCCGGCGCGACGGGTGCCGGAAGGGCTCAATAGACCCACGATGGGTGGGGCTTGATGTGCATTGCAACAAGCCTGGCCCCAGGCGGGCGGAACCATTATTCCGAGCCTCGGCTTCTATTCGGAACTGCAAATCCACTGGACAGGAGAGCGCAGCTGCTAGGGGGCGGAGTTCCGGGAGGTGTTTACTAGGTTGTCGGTGACTTTCTCCGGAGCTGTGTCGCCGGCGTCCGAGTTAGCGAGCAGAAGGTTTGCTGGTCCCATCCATTAGGCTCAGAGAGTGACAGTGGATAAAGGGTTCTCCACTGAATCAAAAGCATTGTAGAGAATCCTGGCGTAATAATGACAGTGTCGCTGTCTGATGAGCATTGATGAGGTCAGGTTCTGCCGTGGATATTTGTACACTTCATTTCACTTAAAGTTCATGAACGCTTGGGACGGGAACGCGAGCGGATGGCTAGACATTGTTAATTTGCCTTAGAAAGAATGCCCTGCGTTAAAGAGATTGCGCGAGTGACCCAAAGCCGCCCGTAGCATTTCAAAAGTAGTCTAGCCAGAATCTGGGTAAAGAGGACCTAAGTCCCCTGTAAGCAAGACTTGGAGAGATGGGAGGTACCTAATAGTTCATTTGATCAGGGCCTCTCTCACATTCAAGAATGCTGCTCTGAGAGAAGTAATTTGGAATGATCTGGAGTAAAACTAAATCTCTGAATCTTAGTCTCTTCCTGTCTCCTAAAATCCCTCCCCTGGAGCCAGGCACCACAAGTGCTTTCTACAGATTAAGGTAAATAGTCCTGTCTGCTCCATACAGTATCATTAAGATTCGGGGAATTAGTTCATATAGTGTGCTAAATAAAGTGACTGGCAAAATTGTGAATCCCCAATAAGTATTATCTATATTTTGATTTATTTGTAAATGGTTTGTAGTTTTTTTTTTAAATCACAACTAGTAAGTGCTAAAAAACAAAAACAAAAACCAAAACTAAAACGTTGAGCGTCCAAACAAGTGAATTACATGAAGACCAAGAGTATAGAGACTATATGGTCTTTCTCTGAAGAAAAGTTGAGATGAATGTGTAATCAAAGCTATTTGAGGTGTGGTTTTTGCTATAAATTTAACAGCTAGAAGTGTGTTAGAATTTGAATTGTTTATAAAATAAACTAATAGTTTATTCAAATTTCTTAATTACAAGGATAAAACTGATTTTCTTCAAAAGTTAGTGCGAGCGCGCACTAATGACTGTGTGCAGGCACGTGTACATGTGCATATGTAGGGCAGAAGTAAACCTTGAGTGACATCCTTGGAAACAACACCTACTTTCTTGGAGATGGCTTCTCTAATTGGCCTGTTGCTCACCCATCAGACTAAACTGAGCCACCAGTGAGTTCTAGGGATGCCTTCCTCCTCCTCCTCCCCATTGGTGGGATTATAAGTGCATACCACCATGACTCAGTGCTGGGGAACTAGTGCAGGCCTCATGCTTGTGAAGCAAGCCCTATTCACTTTACTATCTGTAGACCAAAGTTGTCTTTTTGAGGCAAAAGATGGAACAGCAGGAATTCTCATAATACCTTTCTAGGGTTCAGTTTTCACCATAGAGATACTAACTATGGTGAAGAGTTAAATTCCAGCACCGAGGTGACTCTCAGAAAATGTTGGAATTGCATCTCGATAAACACATTATAAATAGAAAGGATTCGGTATAACATACCAAGCATCATAATCTGGGAGCCCACCATCCACACAACATCAGTTGTTGTCCATTTGATCATATGGATGATCAGGAGCAGTGGCTTGCTGTCACACCCCAGCACTGAGAGAAAATATTCTCATGCTTATTGGTGCCCTTTGACATTTGAAGTCATTTCTATCGAATGGATTTTTTGGTATTATACAACTGAAAAGTCATAAGTGAAAGCCTTATATCTGAGACTGGCATGACATTTTTTCTCTTCCTCTATGTCCACATACATACCCTGTCTACTCATTCATTTTCCACCTGAGCCTTTTTTCCTGCCATTACCTTTGTACACAACACCCTACCCCCAAATCACCTCCAACATAAAGTCCAACTCTATAGCCAGATATGATAGGATCTCCATGATCTTGACACTGTTTACCTGTTCACTCTTTTCCATTCTGCCCACCTATTTATGACCCTGTTTTTAATATACTCTGAGACTTTTTCTCATTCTTGTTGACTGCCAAGCTCCTCTTCATTCTTGCTTATTCTTGAGAGATCTTCATGTAGCCCTTCCTGGGCTTTTACTCTGAATTAGTCGATCGACTTCTCCCCTCCTCTTCATGACTTTCACTATTCAGGTGAAAATACTAATTGAGTTCCAAATCATGTGGCAAGAATAGCAAGAGGAAAACCAGTTAGGGGATCATTGTAGTGACCCGGGTAAATGAAGATGGCAGCCTGCAGTAACAAGGCACTGCCAACATGGCCAGGAACAGATCCAGACAAACTTAGGGAGTGGATTTGGATGAACTTGATGATTAAATTGTGAACATAAACTCAACGTTGGAGAAATCAAGGATGGAGCCCACTGCCCAGTTTGCTATCAGTTGTCCATAGCTTGGTTCAAGACCCTGTACATTACAGATATTTAATAGATACCTAATAAGTGAATGAGTTTTCTTGACTAAGCACCTCCTTCAAATGGGAGGTGACTGGTGGTTTCATTCTGTAAACAGATCTACCTCTGGATGGCTGTGAAACACACCTGATAATATCCAGATAATGACAATCAGCTAAATGTTGTGGAATTCAAGGGACATCAGAGGTGGAGTTTTTCTATACTAAACAAACAACAAAACCCACTTCATATCATCATGATTTGTTTTGTGTCTGTCTCCATTCCTCCTCCAGGTTCATTCCTAATTTTCCTGGCTCCCCAGCACCTAATGCCATACCTTCTACACACTGATACCCAGTGTTTGTTGTTGAACTGAAATTCTCTTAAAAACAACAGCAAAACTTTCTTCCTTCCTTTTTTTCCTTTCTTTCTTTCATTTGAGCTGTGTGTGTGTGGGGTGGGGGTCAGATGATGGTTTTGAAGAGTTGGTTCTCTCCACTGTGTGGGTTCCAGGGAAGAAATTGAAGTCATATGGCCTAGTTAAGTGCCTTTACCCATTAAGCCATCTTGTCAGCCCTAGAGCCACTTTTTAAAACATGCCTCTGACAGGAGAAATAAATGGTAAATATTCTCAAAAATTATTTAAAGTTTGTAAGTAGTCTTTTCTAATCCAAGCTGTAAAGCTTTCATTAGCTGACATGGTCTCATTTGCGTTTTCACAGACCTTTGCTGAATGGAACTGAGTGACATACAGTCCCTTGAGGCTATGTCTCATAAAATTCTCTTGTATTAACCTCCATTCTAGAGATTTCTTTTTAACCACGAAAATAGGAGAATGTCTATTCTAAATAGGATATTTACCATTTCCTCTCCTCTGCTAAAGGCTAAGAACTGCCCATTACAGACTCCTTAGGCTCTCAGGCCATGTTGGCCTCAGCCACTCCCTATCACTCGGCTCTGGGAGCCAGCCGTGGGAGGTGCAGCTCAATGAATTTATCTATTAAGAAACTGTTTGACCTGATGCCCTTTGACTACATCCAAAGAAATTCCAAGGAGGTCATTTGGCCCTTCTTTTCCCTAGGCTATGATTAGTTTGTTGAAATAAAACATCCTTAACTGAAATCCCTTGTAATATAGCAGCCATAGTTAACCCCTGAGTGTATGAGGGTCCAATATCTGAACAAATTAGAATAAATTTAGAGATGTTGACTTTCTTTCTATAAGGCCTTAAAGCAGTTTCTGACAGGCTGCAATAATTAGCATTTTCACATACACTTGGCCTGGTGGCTGCCAGGGGCCAAGGCAGCAGCTGCTGGGCCGAAGGCTTCCTGGCTGGGTCCTCCCAGGGACTAGGGGACCCAGGACACCTCTGCTCACCTTTGCGCTCTGGGCTTGGGGGCCCTGCCTGCCACAGATCATCAGTGGCTGGGGCTGCTTGTAAAGTCAACAAGCCACCATTTTGGCAGCTTGGAGACCCTGGTACCTGCAGGTCCTAATGACCTAGAGCATGTGCAGTTTACTTCATTGAGCCCCAGCACAGCTCTGAGACAGCTGCATCCGTGACTTTGGTGTGGGGAAGGGATAATTACATGATGTGTAAAGTCTAAAAATTTCTGTACTTGCTTCTGTTTTACTCCAGTTCTCCTGGCTATTAAAATACACCCAATGAGCATGCAATCATCTGACTAAGATTTTTCTGTTGCCTCTCTACAATCATGTACATTTTTACTCCCAAGGTTAAGCCGACTCATTTTGCTTCACTTTTATCTGAGCGCTCACTTCACACTTTACACACATGGTGTCCATTTGTGGCGTCCATCACTTCTGTCCCCCATGCTCAGGTCCACGCTGCAGTGACATCTGTAGTTGCCATCTATCTGTAGTAGCCCCACGTTGGGGCGTGCTCCCATTACACGTGTCATAATATACTTTGAGTAGATTTCCTAGTTGATTTTGAATAAATAGGTAAGATATATAAAGTTTTGTTATCTTCTTGAGCTAGTATTATAACGTAATTTCATATAAATAGCTGAAGCATAGCCACACTGAAAATACAGTACAATTTAACATGGAAAATTCCAGTAACATATTTGTGTTCAGCATTGTGTTCAGCATATTCACTGGGTGGCGCTGCTGTACCTATTTTATCCTTACTGAGACTTCCATTCCGGTTCATTTTACATAAGCAACTGGAACTACTGTGCTAAACATCGGACACCATGTTCTGGATTTAGCAAAATAGATTCCAAATTTATGGTCTTCAAAGTGCATGTTTACAGTCCTGGCTCAAGAAGTAAAACAGCATTGAATTCAAAGTAGTCACCTGCATTTTATTTCTCTTTAATCAGTCCAGGCTTATTGATCTGCTTGCCTCCTCAGCCATGTTCGTCTATATTGGAGGCTTTGGAAGTTCAGTTATTCATTGGAAATACTTTAAGCAATATTTGTT